GGATTAGGGATAATTAGGTTTATAAATATAGGGGTATTGTACACTTTTTAATCAATCAATCATATATCAATACAAAGCAAGATTATTCCAATATAATTCTTATTTTCAATACTTATTACAAGAATTTCTAAACGCTTCCGCACCAGTATTATTCTAGCTTTTTGAGCCTGTGGAGTGAGTACTTTGGTATAATTCATGCCAAGGTTCCTGCGAAGGCCTTATGAGCACTATAAGAAGTTCAACGAGTTAGTAAGTGGGATCAGTTTCTTATGAAATTACGACCAATAAGAATTTGAAGTGATTCGAGCCGGTTTATTAAATCGTGATTCAATTCCTTCATTGGATGTACGTCTGGGTAACTTTTGCGTGAAAAGCAACATTTGGCTACTCAAGCTAACATTGGACCTGATTTATCCTCATTTGATATGTTCACCATTGCATATGCTGCCCAAGGACTGGAAAAAGGTTAACTTAAGTGTTTCCGCTACAAAGGATATCGTCATATTGCTCGTAACTATCCTCAAATAGTTTGCAGTTACTGGAAGCAAGTATGGCATGTCATCAAGAGCTGTCCTACACAACCTCCTTATCGGAAAGCTAAAGCATTTCAAGTTGATGTTCAAGGTACTACAACACTTTCACAAGCTAGCATAGTCAACCTGTTCTTACCCTAGAAATGGTCCATCTAATGATTATTTCCGCCTTCTCTGCCTTGGGCTTACAAGGTTAAGGTCAAGTTTTTTCTCATTGGTTTGTTAATTCGGGAGCTTCAAATCATATGACAAGTAATTCCGATTCCTTGCATAACATTCGGCGCTATACAAGCACACAAAATATTCAGATTGCTAATGGTAGTACCCTTCCTATTACTGCTGTTGTTGATATTGGGTCTTCTTTTAATAATGTCTTTGTATCTTCGGGCTTATCTACAAACTCGATTTCGGTTGGTCAATTAGTTGATAATAATCGTAATGTATATTTCTCTCGTCATGGTTGTCTTTTGTAGGATCAGGGGTCGAGGAAAATGATCACGAAGGGGCCTAAAGTTGACAATTATTTCCATTACGCTTTACTATTCCTACTGCTATGTATTTGGCTTGTATCAGTGTTGGACTTAAGCATGAGATTTGGCATAAAAGATTAGGGCATCCAAATAATTTAATTTTGTCTCATTTGTTGAAATGTGGTTTTTTAGGTCATAAAGATCAGTCTCAATTCTCAAATTTGAATTTTTATTGTGATACTTGTAAGTAAGACTCCCGTTTCCACTAATGCAGTCATGTTGATAAATGCTTTAAAATTATTCCTAGTAATGTTTGGGGCATAACACCCGTCACTTTACAGGCTCAATTTTTGTGACCTTTATTGACGATTTTTGTCGTTACACTTGGATATATTTCTTTCATTCTAAAAGTGAGGTCCGTACCACTCTTAGGACTTTTGTAGCTTACATTGAGATATAGTCCTCTACCACATTCATTCTCTAAGGTTCGACAATGGGGGGAATATGTCTCATGATTGTCATACTTTCTTGCAAAAAAAAGTTATTATCTCTTAACGCTCGTGTCCATGTACTCAGTAGAATCGGGTAGTCGAAAGAATCGTCACTTGCTAGATGTTCGAGTTTTGCTTTTGGAATCTTTGATTGTGCCTAGATTTTGGGTCGAAGCTCTCTCCACAACTGTACACCTAATTAATCGAATTCCTACTTCGCATTTGTACTTTGAGTTGCCTAATTTCCGTCTATACAGTACCACATCCCAGTTATGATGTGTTATATACTTTTGGATGTTTTTTTTTTGTTTATCTGCCTCCTTATGAACGTTATAAACTGGCTGCTCAATCTATAAGATGTGCTTTTATGGGTTACAATATTGCTTAGAAGGGTTTTGTCTATTATGATGGTGTTGCCAATCGCTTTCGTATCTCTCGCAATGTGGTTTTCTTCGAGAACAGTATTACTTCCAGCAGCATGTCATGGCTTTTGATTTGGCTCCACTCCTTAGCTTTTAGGATGACTCTCGCCCCATCGAACATCTTAGGCCAGGTTTGGTATATCTGAGACGATAGCCTCCAGCCCTACCACCCTTTCCCGTCCCCGATCCATTTCTAGACACTACTACTCTTGGCGATCCACTCGCATCACTTAACCTCTCGATCCGTATGATTTCTTTGCAATCTTATCTTATATCACCGTTCCTACTTATTCTTGAGCGGTTACCCAGCCTTGTTGGTAGAAAGCAATGCAAGAGGAACTCCAAGCTCTTTAGGAGAATCACATGGGATATTGTTCCTTGTCCTCCTAAGGTCAAAACCTATTGGGGACAAGTGGATCTACTTAGTTAAGTTATGGTCCGATGGATCTCTAGATCGATATAAAGCTCGGTTGGTGGCTCTCGGTAATTGTTAAGAATATGGCGTGGATTATGAAGAGACTTTTGCCCCTGTTGCTAAAATGACAACGGTTCATACCGTTCTTGCTATAGTTGCCTCCAAAGGTTGGCCTTTACGACAATATGTAGATGACAGTTATTATCAGGACCGACTCGAGATTGATATCTCACGTTCAAAACTGACTTACGGAATATTTTTGAGACCTTTATAGTATTTCTTAGGTCTGAAGATGCTTTCAACTCCATTCGTATACTTATCTGCATCAGCGTAAGTATACAGAGGAGTTGATTACATTGGCTGGACTTTGGGATGGTCAATCTGTTGATACTCCTTTGGAGGTGAACGTGAAGTATCGCGAGGAGTGTGATCTTTTTTCAAATCCCTCGTATCGTCAGCTAGTAAGCAGATTGAATTATTTTACTATTACACGACCCGATATCTCTTTTGCTGTCTAGCAAGTCTACCAATTTATGCATGCTCCACGAGACACTTGGCTGTGATTCGTCGTATTATTAGATATTTTCTTGGTACACTTGACACAAGCATTTTCTTTCCAGCCAATTCTTCTCTGAAGTTAATAGGTTATAGTGATGTTGATTGGGCTGGATGTGTGGACACTCGTCACTCGATTACAGGTTGGTGTATGTTCCTTGGGAGTTCACTTATTTCATGGTGAAGCAAGAAACAGGATCGCGTTTCTAAATCTTACACTGAATTTGAGTATCGTGCTATGTCTTCTGTTTGCTCTGAGATTATTTAGCTTCGAGGTCTTCTAGTGATGGTTGCCCTCAGCTTGAGCCTTCTCCAATTTATGTTGACAAGACTAATGCCATTCAAATTACTGCTAATCTCGTGTTCCATGAGTGGACTAAGCACAATGAAGTGGATTGTCATTCTATACGAGATGCTTATGATGGTTGAATTATTACTCTTTCGCATACCACAACAGATGTTCATACTGTTCATGTGTTTATCAAGGCAATAACTCGACAACATCGTCAGTTTCTTGTCAGCAAATTGATACTCCTAGATTGTCCAACATCAATTTGAGGGGGATGTCAATAATATCAGCGAAGACTATGGACAGCTTATATTAGCATAATTATGGATTGTATTTTACCAAATTTATAATTTACCAAGTTTATAGTTACCGTAGATAGATTAACCCTAGTTGAATGTGTGTAATCCTTTTTCTATATAATGTAAAGGATCCCAAACAGGAAAACCATTCAGCCAAACGATTGTTAATATCAATTTTCAAATTTAACATGTCAAAAAGGCTCGAATGCCAAAACTACTAAAATAACGTGCACTTAATTAAACATAAAAAACATTCTAAGAATAAAATTCATCATAACTCCTTATTAAAATTTTACTTGGCAACCATATGCATCCACTCGTTCAATCTTTCACGCGTTTAGCACGACCCGCTCTAATCTGAAATTGTTGTAAGAGTATCTTAAAAATTCCTTGTAAAAATAGGTGCAAATTTTTCTTTAACGTGATATAAATATAAAATGACATAATATACCGACCTCCTTAGATTTAGAGCAAACTAGTCTCGATATTAGATAACTTAAGAAATTTCTTTAGAATTCCTATATCTTGTAGGATTTTCATATTTGGACCTAACGTTTTATCCCGAATGATTTACATAAAAATCGACCCGAAGGTCGTAGAGTATTTCATGTCAAAATTAGATAAACATCAAGAAAATAAGAATTTACTACTTTGCCTATGTTTTCTTACCTGAATTGATACCAAATAAATATGAAAATATGACTTGTAGAATAATGGTAAACCAACAGAGTGTGCATGTGTAAATTTGTAGAAAGGGAACTTGTCTGGTTCTAGAATAAAAATACTCTAATCTGACTATATATATATATAGTTTTGACATACATAAGCCCAAACTGCATTTCAGGGTTAATAATTCAATTCAAACGCATTTGAGGTTAATTACAAAATTATGTTTAGTTTATTAAATTATAATAGATCCTTTCAAATTTTAATGTAACCGTTGAAATGAAATGAAAGTTCCCTTTCTATTTTTTTAATTAATAAATTATAGGATTTAGAATATTTTTTTCTATCAAAATAACTCGGACATATCTAGTCCAAAGTTATTTTTTCTTGAGTCCAATTTATGTTATTTAATACGAGCTACAAAATGATTATAATATTTGATATATTTCATCAACTTCCATAATACTTAAATATTCTATCGAAATAATATTTACGTTAAATTCTATAAAAATACACATAAGATAATAAATCCTTTATGAAAATAATTGGGTTAAACTTATCACTTAACTTTTGGATTTTAATGTGATAACAAGGCTAGACATTGACTATTCTATTTTCTAAATGACCAACATTAAATTTAAGCCTATATGAAAATAGTAATTAAATATTTGGGGTGTTTCATTTTTAATATTTACTAATGTGTTATTAGAAATTTAAAAATGATACATAATATGCCCGGAGCATCTTATCATGGTTTATACTAGGATTTTATTGGATTCATGAGCTAATGATTATAAAAATGGAAGCTACATAGCTGTATGATTTATGAGCTACATTGGCTGCAAGCCAGCATAGTAGCTCATGGTATAGTGCAATGTTCTCCACTGAGGTTAGGGATTCTGGTTATGCCAAATAACTTCCACCTGCCTAGTTGTGAATGAGTATTATATTAGTTTTATCTAGTTTTCTTCTCTATTTTGCTAAGATGGGCTTGATCCGTACTTTTACCTTTTTACTTGCAGTGTGCTGGCAATAGAAGAACTGCCATGAGCAAAACTCGCAAGGTTAAGGGAGTTGGATGGGATATTTCTGCTATAGGAAATGGCAAGTACATTCTGAAAAGAATGAATTTTGATTCTGTTAAACTATGTATTTATCTAGAAAATGTTGCCTATAAAAGAGAGAGCATTATATGTTGAAGTCTCCTATGTATCAAGCATAATAGCTCCGAAAGTTCTATACCCTTAATTTCTCAAAATATGTTGCATGATGAAATTGTTATATTTTGGATTGCAGTAGCTGTCAAAGTGAATGATTGTATTCTTTACTATGTGGGCTGGCAGATGCTATGGCCCTTAATGGGTTGGGAAGGCATTTAAAGTAGTAGAGATAAACTGATTCAAAATGGGTTTCTTCTTCGTCTTAACAGCGATCTTCTAAAACCTTCATATTATATTAGATCAGTGAATTTTGTTGGTTCCTGTTTCTGTTCCTTAATTTCACATCTTCCTGCATTTTCAATTCAGCTATATGGGGTGGAGCTAAATTAGCAGATGTTCTTGCGCTGATTGGAATTCCCAAGTCCTCACGGATAACACCATCTGGAGGAAAACATGTAGAATTTGTAAGCATTGACAAGTGTAAGGTAATCACTTGTTCCACTCCTGGTCATATCACTTTTTGGTCACTGCACGATGCGAAAATTTTACTTGATATAATGATGTCACAATATGAATACAGGAAGAAAATGGAGGCCCTTATAAAGCATCAATTCCATTAAGTCAGGCCACAAACCCCGAGGCTGATGTTTTACTTGCTTATGAGATGAATGGAGAGGTATTATATGCTTGATTATGCGACAAACATGTTTAGTATATAATCATTAATCACGCTACTTTCTCTATCAACTCCAAATGACCTACCCGTTCCGTGGCATGACTCTACCTGAAAAAAATGTTCTTCCTGTTCTTATGTGATTTATCAAATCTTATGGTAGCTTTTTCTCTTAATATAATTATATTACGTGCTGTGAAGAATCAGGACTGCATTATTGCATGTAGGAGATATGGGATAGAGAACTGATCACATTAGAACTTATAAAGTTGTTGATACACTTGCATTTTCTTAATTTGACTTATAAAGTTGTTGATACACTTGCATTTTCTTAATTTCTACATTTTAACTAAATCAATTCAAAGGAAAGACCATTCTTAATATCTGCAATGATTTTTATTTTACTTTTTCTTTCCGTGTTATGAGATTCATGTGAAGTCACACACACTCTCACTTTCGCACTCTACCTTGATCTCCATCCATGTGTGCACATTGGCTATAAGTATTTACATGCCCCCTATGTTTTCTTTAGATAGATTTAATTTGATCAAATAAAGTACATAATACATCAAGCAAATTGAGTTTCCATTCTGATTCGATGAAATTCTTACTGATTTAAATGGGGTCACTAAGTTTCTCTCTCTGCTTTCAAGTTTTTTATGGTTTATATTCTTCTTGAACTTGATCATCTGATTGGTAGCCTAAAGTCTTCCTCTTCACATGTTTGATGAACTTGGATCTGTATTCTGTTGGCATAAATTTTCTCTGCTCTATAGGTTTCTACTATGATAGAGTTTAGCATCATCTTCCTTTCAATTTTCCTTCTTTTTCTATCTAATCTTTGTGTTCTGGATTTGCCACAATGCAAAGCCTCTTAACAGGGATCATGGATACCCGCTGCGGGTGATTGTCCCAGGTGTCATTGGTGCTCGTTCTGTCAAATGGCTTGATTCAATCAATATCCTTGCAGAAGAATGCCAGGTTGAAATTTATCTATAATTACTCTGAAGAACGATTGCATCTTCCTTACTAAGCTTTATGAAGTTTACATTGCTGCCGCGTAGGGATTCTTTATGCAAAGGGATTATAAAATGTTTCCACCTTCAGTTAATTGGGATAATATCAACTGGTCTACGAGGAGGCCACAAATGGATTTTCCTGTCCAGGTATTTACTCATCTGCAGATATGCTCTTTATCAATGGATCTGTGTGATAAATAAGACAAACATTCATTCAAAACTGCGTTGTAATTCTTATAATCTTTTGCACGTGTAGCAGGTATATAGTCAAATATGAGAGGAGGGAAACTACTTATTAATATGAAATATTCATTGTTTAGCCTTCTAAATACTTTTGCAATGTTATAGTGTTCTTATAAATAGAACCTCCTAAGTCCGAAATGCTTTTCCTGTGTTCCATTAGCCACCAGAATAGGATAAAAAAATAATTTCAAGTTATAACTGTTTGCTTTTCAGTTTAAAGATAAGAAGGAAAAAAAAAAATCTTAGATAATGTTTGGCAAGAATTTATAAATAGATAGAAATGAGGGGTGGAAAAATGGTAGAACTTCCGGGTCTACGAAATATGTGGATAAAAAGTAGTTTACTTTTAGCAAGTGTTATAAACAATTGTTTCCATCGGGTAGAACTTCTGGGGTCCCACGAAATATGTGGATAAAAAGTGGTTTTATTTTTAACAAGTGGTATAAACAGTTGGGAAACATACTATTAAGTAAACAAGCTGGAAAGTTGTTGGAAGCACTATTTGCTTATTTTATGCGGAAACTGCTACCAGCCTCTGTATAATGTTTTAAAGTTTCTTGAAGACTATTTTTTAATTGATACTCAAATTTTCGCTGCTTGCAGTCTGCAATATGTTCTCTGGAAGATGTAAATGTGGTAAAACCCGGAAAGGTCAGTATGCTATGATACTGTTATGCTTATGCACCTTGTATAGCAAGAATTTCTGGCATTATATGTCTCATGATTTTTCTATACTGCTTTTCATGTTTGCAGCAATCAAATTTCATTGATACATTATGTAAGCTAAGGACATTTAGTTAAGACACTCTCTTTCTCATCACTTGCTCGTTTAAACTTTGGTTGGATGACATTTTAAAGGAAAACAGCTGACATTATACCAAAAGATGGTGACATTTTTTTTTTTGTATATTATGAAGCGATGGTTCTGAATCAAATTCTGGTATGCGTTCCATTAATTGGTACCAATATCTTACTGAATATGGACTACGATAAAAAATGTAATGTGTTTATTGTGAACAAGGAAGGGAATAATCTTCCTTTTATAGGGAGGTTACAACTACTTAATAAACTTATAGATTACAACCAAAAGATAAGCTTTATCACAACAACCAAGAGATAAGTATTATCACAGCAAACTAAATCTACAATAAAAAATAAGTTACAACAAAAACAAACTATATCTACATCTATACATCTAGATTTGTAGGAATCGTAGAAGATAGAGTTTACAACAAACTTTCCCTAAGAATTAGGTAACAATCAAATCAAAATTTATCTGATTTGATCAAGCTTCTCAACACTCTTCCTCAAGCTGGTTTGAAGATGTCATTCATGGCCAGCTTGCTTACTAAATCATCAAACTGCTTCTTTGGCAATCCCTTAGTTAGTATTTGCTACCTGTTCAATCGTGGGTATATAGAGCATAACAATGAGTCAGCTTTCTAATTTCTCCTTGACAAAATGTTTGTCAACCTCTACATATTTAGTTCTATCATGGAGAACTCGACTGTGTGCAATGAAAATTGTAGCTTTATTATCACAAAGGACCTTCACAGGTAAATGATTAGCAGCTTTAAGTTCTTCGAGTAGCTGTTTTATTTGCAAAACTTCACAATTGCCATGGGCTACTTGTAACGGACCTCCCGTTTGGCCCTTGAGGTTCCAGGGACCCCCAAGGCAGCCTACCCCACACATGCGACCGGCAAGCTTAGATATGCAATATAAGTACAACATAGGGATACAAAGCATGCCATCAAAACCTGTTAAAAGGGACATCGTCAGTGCACTTCCGAGAAATATAGCAATAAACCCGCAATAACCTATCTTGTCATGCCACATGGGTAGGGGAGTTCTCTAGGTCCGTGACATACTGCTCTAAACTCAGTTTCAACGCTACTTCTAGCCACAATATTTTGTTTTTTACTCTAAATCACAAGATTGCCTTCAACAAAAGTACAGTATCCCGAAGTTGATCTCCCATCAGTTACACTTCCCACCCAATCTACATCAGCAAACACATCTACTTGGAGATGTCCTCGATTCTCGTATAGAAGTCTTTTTCCTGGAGTCTCCTTTAAATATCTTAAAATTTTGTACACAACATCAAACTGCCCATGTTTTGGTGAATGCATGAATTGACTAACACATCAAATGCAATGTCAGGATGAATTTGATAGAGAGCTAAGTCTCCCAATTGAGCGTTGATATTTCTTGTCAATCACCCCTTTTGGATTTGCTGGTTGGAGTTTCAAATTCGGTTCTATAGGAGTTTCTGCTGCCTTATATCCAAGTAAACTTGTTTCACCTAATCAAGTCAAGTATATATTTTCTTTTAGAAATGAGCATACTTTTTTTGGATCTAGCAAACTCCATACCAAGGAAGAAGTATTTCAAGGAACCTAAATCTTTAATATCTAATTCACGATTTAGAGCTTTCTTCAATTTACCAAGTTCTTGACTATCATCACCAGTAAGGATTATGTCATCTACATAAACAATTGCACAACAATTTTTATCAAGTTGTCGACTATCATTACCAGTAATGATTATGTCATTTACATAAACAATTAACATAGCAATTTTCCCTATGGGTGTTTGTAAAACATTGTATGGTCAACTTCAATTTGAATATATGCTCAAGAGTTTTTAAAGGTGTTTCATAGTTTAAAATCCTAGTAGGCATTCTATTAACCAAATAACAACTTGTTAAGATTGCATCTCCCTAAAGATATTTAGGAACATTCATAGGAAACATAAGAGCTCCCTAAGTAGTGGTAGTCATTGGCCAAGAATCACCTTTTGTTGTGATTGATATATATATATATTCAAGTACACGTGTCATATTATGATTGATTTATTAAAAATTCAATTCTTATCCAATTTGATAAATATGATTTTTCATCCCAATTGTACTATGACTCAACCACTTTTTTTTTTTTTTATAAATAGTGTGCAATTGTCCCACAATTCACCACAAAAGAATTTTACACGATAGCTTTTATATAAAGTAGCTGTAAATTGCAAGTATATATATTTTTGATCAGGAGCTCGTTTAATCAATTAAGGTAAGATACTTTCGTGCAAGTGGTTCGTTTCCTTATACTTTTATATTCAGTAATTTATGCATGAATTGTCAGTGGACCTTCGGGTTCTTTATTAAGAGATCCTTCGAGAATTTAAAATGACCTAAGATATGTATGTCGTTTGGTCACCGATATACTCCATAAGAGAAGAGTTGTATGAAATGTTTATCTTATTGTGATATAATTGTGTTCATAACGATCATACAATGTTATAACATGATGATGAGTGGTAATCGCATAATGCAACTTAACATGTAAGATCACATCATATTACATCTCTTTCACATAATAGCTTGTGTACATAAACACGAAAGATAAAACCCTAGCTACATATTTTACTCATTGGTTTGTAGATTGGTACATTGACGGGCTGTTATTACCAAGAAATTCATAATAACACGTATTTAATATTTCATCTTGGTAATAACAGCATTTAAATACCAGTATTTGGGAATGGGTATCCTAAAATCATGTTTTGCTACCTTGAGATTAGGTACGAGTACCTTCTGTGTTTTTTATTTTGTTTAAATACGGCTAAGGGTACCTTTAAGTTAGGTAGGGGTACCTCGTATACGAGTATCCTTTGGTGTGTGTAATGTATAATTATGTGAACCTGTGAACTAGGTGTGTGCACACTGTGTTTTTGTACTTTGGTACTAGTACCTGGGGTTTCAAATATATGTTCGCACAAAGACATGATTTTCTTCATTTGAAACGCGTTCTAGGTTTTTAAAACTTTAAAATTCATAAAGACAAAGGGAACAGTAGGTTCTTACCCAAAAGTGAGAATCCCAACTTCGTTTTTAGATTTTTTCATTACTTGTACAACTTTCCTCCTTCCTATTTTGTGTGTGTGCCATGTGCGTGAAGTAAAGAAGATTTGGGTGCTGTTGATTTAAAGTTTAGGAGTCTATCTAACTTCAAATTGGAGGACATGGAGGTGGCTTCACCTCCTTAACAGGTTAACTTCAAATCTGTCTCATCCTTTTCTAAGTATCTTATCACCTACTTGTAGATCATTACTTAGCTTCCTTCATTAGTTGTCAAGTGTCCCAAACTAGTAGGTGGTGTTGAGGATTACAATGGAATGCCACAATCCATACTTAATAGCAGCAATATGGGGTTATGGTCTAATGTGGGACTTAATTGCAATTTTCAGTCGGTTGCAACTTCATGCACAATGCACAGTTGTGCTGGATATTACTACCATTAAGGAAGCAATGAGGTCTTTAATGTGATCCCCAACTCACATACTTGCTTGTGATACTTGACACACTTGATGAAGTAAACTAGATAATGAACTACAAGCTGGTGATACAGCTACTTCAAGGAGTGGATTATATTTGAAGCCATAGATTCCATGAGGTCTTTAATGTGATCCCTGTGCCCATATTTACTTGAGCTCAGGTGATACAACCATGGATTCACGTAGTGCCCAGTAGATAAAAGAAAGATAACAGAAGAGAATATGTCATATCATATCATGACATTCATGCATCTACACACGTCCATCATATTTCGTTCACTAAGTGTGCTATAGTAATTCTCTTCATTTTCCACTTTTCAAATTATTATGCTTCGTGGGGCTAAATAGAATCTAGAAAGAACAATTAGGATTTAACGCCTGATGGCTTGGAGTTTTCTTATATACCGGCAGTAGATATATTGATCTCTAAAGCTCAAAGTCACGTGTAGGAGAAATAATATACTTTTGTTCTAAATAATAACCCACCAATTCTCTCTTTTGCAAGGATGTTAATTATGTTATGAAATTACCGTATTTGCAATGAAATAATAAGTACGACTTTTATCCTCTGTAGTTTGACCTAAAACTTCCGCATCATTTTTATATAATAGTGCAAGAGTGGATTTTAAGTTAATGTAGCATTCTGCCCAGAGTTCTTAAGTGTACCCAATATCATGGTACACCTACTAGTCTATAGGTACACGTGCCCAATTCTTTTGAGTTACAGATTCAGTGATTTAGTACCCGTACCCATGAGTCATTACATCAACATTTTTTTACAAGAGAGTAAAGCGAATGTTTCATTGATAAAGAGGTATATTATAAAACAATTATGCTAAATGTACATTCTTGTGTTTCATTGATAAAGAGGTATATTATAAAACAATTATGCTAAATGTACATTCTTGTGTACATTTCCTCTTACGTGGCATAATTTAGGCAGGAAAGAGAAAGATTGTTGGAAAAATCAAGGGAGATGATGATATCATGCGACATAGTGTAAGGAAAGATGCACATAAGAGCGTACATGTAGCACAACCGATTGTAAAAATAGAACATCAGAAAAGGGCGTGGGGGGTGGGGGTGTTACAATTGTGGTATTAGAGCATAGTTATGAGTCTTGTATTGCAAGACAAGCCGAGCTGTCCAAGTAAGTTGTGTTTTAAATTATGTTGTAACTTATTTTCTTAGAATTAGACATTCTATATTTAAGGCTTGGAAGCGTAAGAAACTACCAAGTTGCAACAGAAATGAAAGAAATTATAAGTAAATGGTAATATTGCAAAAACCATAGCAGAATACTTAGCAGTTAATTACTGGTAGTAGCATTACCCCGTCGAACTGTAGTAGTACCATAACCAATACCCACCAAAATGATCTAAGACTAGAACCAGAAAATGGAGAGGATAATAAAGGGCAAAACAATCCCATAACATCTACACCATCCTATGACTACGAGTGTTTAAAAAATACAGAAAATATAAAGAAATGGTTCACAAAAGAGAGAGAGAGGTTAGCCCATAACGCACAGATCCTAGTATTTTTCTCCCAGTGTTATTGTAACGCCCCAAATTCTAGGAACTCGAAGCATTAAAAGTATTCTTAATTTGAGCTCTTTAATGTCAACCAAAATAAATTTCAAATAAGGAAAATTTGAAGTTTGAAATATATTATAAAAGTATGATGGGAGATAATTGTCTATATAGACTTAGACAATTACGGTAAAATTTGATTTTGGAAAACATTCGGAAGAAAATCAACACTACCAATATTGCAGCAGCGGAAAGAAATTGTTTGACCTTTATATACGTATATCATATAAAAAATTGAGCTCGTGTCGATAATGTTTGAAGCACGAAATCATTTTTCAACTATGCTGGACAGAAATTTTCGAACTGACTCGTAGCAGTCTACTAAAACGGACATAACTCTAAATAATAATTTAAGGTAATTCCAAAGGCCATTGTTAGAAGACTCGTAGATCTTTCAAACCCAACTGATTTCACTAAAAAATATGCACTGTAGCCCAAGTTATACCATTTTTAAATAGGTAGACAGAATCTGAGATTCAATACAACAATAAATAAACTTCATATGTAGTCATTCAATTGTTTCTAAATTATAGTCGACATGCAATGAAAATAATTTAAGCAAAACAGAAAGTTAAAACATATTAAAAGTGTCGTCTAAGTGTTCATAAGAGATTTAAACAAATGAAAATTTTACTAGAACGTTAAATGCATTCTAAGTCACCGAGCACTTGCCACCACTCAATGCCACTGCCACGCTTTTAATGAACCTGTAAATTTTGTAGGGATGAGTATCACGAGTAATACTCAGTAGGAAAACACTTGAGTAAATGGTAGAAAAAAATATTTTCAGAAATGTGACTTTGGTTATTTGTGTCATCGTCAACTCTGCAAAGCAAACCGGTGATCAATCAGTCCGCTTATTCTTCGGGTTTTGATAACCTCATTCAAGTGTCATACATCTCTTTATCTCTTGTTTGAACCACCAAATGATGCTTCCATCATAAGTAACACAATAACACTTTTAATGCAAATCGAAAACAAATAAATTTTTACTTCACTTACAAAAGTGTAGAAAACACCCATACCTTGAATGATTGGAGTTTGATTATCCTTTGTGTTGAATTTGTAACAAAGTGCAACAGAAAATGGATCCGGCAGTAACCAAAAATGGGAGTCAAAAGTGAAAGTGGGATAAGAAATCTTAAATGCAGGTAATGTTTTCAATTTATAACAAATGGAGAACGTGATAGCAGTAACCGATATGGTAGTTGAAGGGTTTTGTTTTCAAAAGAAATTAATAGCCATGATTTCAACAGTTAATGGAAATGGGAAGTTACAATTTGTAAATTGGAGAGTAGGTGAGTTGAAAAGTCAGGCTCATGGATAATGAAATAAAAATAAATAAATAAACGGAGATGAATTAGTGGAGGAAAATCGTGAATGAGAAAAATTATAATGAAATGAAGTAGGGATTGTTTGGCACAGTACAATTGATTTATCTATTTTATTTTATAAATTTAAAGCACTTAACATATAAGCAACAATTAATATGAAGTATGTCATCACAAATAATATAACAAAATCAAATAAAATAAGAAAATTGTCGTTTAAGAAAAATATGATACCATTACAAAAATTTTAAAAACAAGTGCGCGAAACTTTATTATCGTGACCAAAACTTTAATTCGAACTCTTAGGAAGGGTCGTAGCGACTTAATATAACAAAAATTATTTTCGGTTTCTACATGAAAATTCTTTTAAAATGAAATACAAGATTTTTTTTTCTCGGTTGCTACAACAGTTGCCCAATTGGTACCAGGATTCAACTTAAGTCTCCCATATGATGGAGGTCTTTAGTTCGAATCCTGGGGGACAGGTCAGAAAGCCGTGAGGGGTAAGATGGGCCTAGGTTCTCCGAAAGTGGATAGTACGTACGATATGATAACGGCTCCGGCGTGAGGTCGGGTTGTTACAAAAAAACGCTGGTTTTTTTTTTGTAACGACCCGACCTCGCGCCGGAGCCATTATCCCAGAATTCAACTTAAGTCTCCCATATGATGGAGGTCTTGGGTTCGAATCCTGAGGGACGCGTCAGAAAGCCGTGAGGGGTAAGATGGGACTAGGTTCTCCCAAATAGAACAGTACGTACGATATGATAACGGCTCCGGCGCGAGGCCGAATCGTTACAGTTATTGCTTCCCAATAGAAATAGAATAGTAGAATTTAAGACAACTCAGATAATTGAAACTCTTTCTTGAAACTCTTCATAAATAAATACTTCTCAACTTCCACTAGTAACCAAAAACTCAATGACATCGTCCACCTATGTCTAGGAACCCAATCTGTTAGTGACTATCTTCGTGTCTGACACACAATTTTTTTTAAAAAAAATAAAATTAAAAAATAGTAGGAAATGATATGTGGGGGGACATGCTGAATGAAATAATGTTCAAATATGAGGATTGAGTCACTATGTTAAGAAATTCAATGAGATATCTTGTTTTGCTCCGAACGTGGTCAGTATGGATGAACTTAAAATTGAACTCTTCATCGAGGGATTACACCTAGAGTTGAATGGAGATGTAAGAATGGCAAAAGCTCAAGGAGTCACTTTGTTTTTAGTGATAGAACAAGCTGAATTAGAGATTATTAAAATGCTGGAATTCCGACGTTTCAACCAAAAGCTTTGTCCTTCATAACCAAATGAGAGTAATGTCAGTGATCAGAACAAATCCAAATGGAATGGACCCGGGAAGACATGATAATAATTTTGCTTCGAATAAGGAAGATAAAACAGAGGATTCAATCACACCTAGAACAGTCACGAACTGTAATAACCGTGAGAGTGCACACATCGGTAAATGCCACTTTGGTCAAAGAATGTTATTTCTGCTGAAAATTCGAACTTTAGTGCGCCATTAAACCTCTACTCCAGCAACAGTATATGCTTTTGTCGGATAATCGTCAGAAGAATCCGAAATGAGAGAATAGTACCTAGAACTGTTAAAGTGAATTTTGTTTTAGCTGCTTTTGAGTACTGCACTGGTAAAACACTTATTTTTATATAGGCTCGAAAATTTGATGAACTTGATGGAAATAGATAAGTATGCACAACAATTTGGTCATAGTGCATTTTAAAATTCAGAGTTCAAAAAGGCATAACAGCAAAAGAATATTACTCCCTACATTTGAATGTCCTTGTTTGATTTGGAATGTCCCCAATGATTACCTCTTTCCTAAATCATTATTTCTTTTTCAATAATTTGCATACTTTGAAGTGATTGAATGAATGACTACATGGGGTGTTGACCATTGATTTATACATAAAACTGAGAAGTTCTGTAGAACATTAACTCTTTTATTCACTAAAGTCAGCGTTAATTGTAGCACAAAATAATCAATAGCTGATGAATGGAGCAGTTCATGTGGCTCTGGCGCTTATAATAACATGTATGTTGTGATGCTCTGAAGTATTTCCCTTTCTTTATATCGGTTTCGACGAAAATTCCAAACTTGTCATCGATTTGGGCACTGGTGTGTAACTGTGCCATTGCTTCCTGCTTCCAGAGTTTGAGGCTTAGTTTGTTGTTGGTTTGCTCAGTTGAATTGTCCTGTGGGTAAAGTTACATGAAGGTATACTGTGTCAATTGTCACTTTTCAGATAACTATCAAGGGTTATGCCGTATCAGGAGGTGGACGTGGCATAGAGAGAGTTGATTTGTCCATCGATGGTGGCAAAACCTGGATGGAAGCCTCTAAATTTCAGAAAGCTGGCTTTCCTTACATCTCTGACGATTCAGGTAGCGACAAATGGGCATGGGTGCTTTTCGAGGTTGAGGCTGATATCCCATGGATTGCTGAGATTGTTGCTAAAGCGGTATGTTATGTATTTATTACGAGGAAGCAGGGTGTGTGAGTTGTACGTGCAGCTATATGTTTTGCAATAATCGAGAGCACGTTTGAAATATATTACTTTTTTATTGGTGAAAGTAGAAAATGAGTTACTTATTTTGACACAAGGCATAGTTACTTTCGATATAATTAGTTTTTTAGTTTACTTAAACAAAGCTATCCAAACATGTTTGAAAACAAGTCACTTAAAACTAAGTTCTACTCATTTTTTTTATAAGATTAGCCAAACAGGATCTTATGAAAACTTGAAGATATAGTTTGGCGCTTGTCGTTGGAAATTATTACGGCTGCATGAAAAATGTTGGCCACTGTCAGTGCTTTCCTCAACTCCGTGTCAACTGTGGTATAATATGTTCTTATTATTGGCAGGTGGACACAGCTGCAAATGTGCAACCTGAAGATGTAGTAGTTATTTGGAACTTGAGAGGGATACTGAACACCTCATGGCACCGAGTTCATGTTCGGGTTGGGCATTCCAGTATGTAGGCAAAGCAGAATACCGATCCAACATCCTGCACTGTTGGGGACTGGTTATATGCATTTCACATATCGTGTTTTTAGAAAGCTTGTGTGATAAACTGTACAATATTACATTTCCCGGTTTCTAAACGTGTAAAAGAAATAATGTTCTGTTCTTCAGAGAATTTGCCGCAGTTTGCTGATTTGGTAAAATAGTATTCCTATAGAGAGATGCCGTCTCTTCTTTCGTATTTCTATGACTAATGTCAAAAAGTACAACTGTATATGTTGGTGTGACGGTATCTTAGAATCGAAGAATTAGTTCAAATTTGAACACTTTATCCAGATCTCGAGACCATAAATTTCCAGTTTCATGTCACCAAAGATGCTTTATTATCCATGGTGTTACACATCAATAATTCTCTTTGCATGATGACAAATCTCGACATTGATAATAACCAGACAATGAAAGATTGATATGATCCCTTTAAGAGATTACCTAGAGCATCACATATGGAAGTTTGCTAAACAAATATATACTCTCAATTTTAAATAAATTCTCATTATTCAGGTAAGCTCAAGCTTCCGCATATTCCATCTAAAGCAGCTTACAGAACATCCGAGACCAGTTTCGTGCATCGTCTCACACAATTTAAATTTCTTTATTTGTCCTATCGTGTCCAATATAACAAATATGTTACAAGAATATAATCTGGGTGGAGATACCAATACCAACCTTAGTAGCTTACTAAATAACTCAATCGGCATGCAGCAATATGATGTTGCTAAGGAAGACACCAACTCAAGGTCCTCGTACTCTTTCATTACAATGCTCAGTAGCACGACAGGACTCATGTACCCGGTGACTGTTTATTTAGTGAAATTCTAAATCAGTAGACCTTTCCATCCAAAATTTGAGCATCATATGTCAGATTCTAAAGAAAAGGTAGGTGGGATCAATTTTTTGAGTGCAAAAGCAAATAGATCAAAGATGAAGCATCCATAAAATAACTACTACAATCATCCAGCAAGATCTTGAGTGTCTCTCTTTAGGCTGGCATCTACACAATGACATATGATCCAACATTTGACCGATCAAACAACAGCACTTAAAAGCTAAAACTGCTTCTGTGCACATTGGCAAAGATTAAATCTGTAATGCAAATTTGTCTGACAACCAGAAACAGCAAGTGAAACAACAGTGCTGAACGACCAGATATACTATCTGATTCTTTTACAATGATTCATAGTTCATTGCCACTGGAAAATGTGAATACCAGTCGCAAAAAAGCTGTGCAGATGTTCAACAAACAATAAGAGATAGAAGCAACATACTAGTTTTAGCAACATTAGCGTTTCTGCCTACTTGGCTTCCAGAAGCATCTGCAGGCAGTTTACGGTTCAAATATCGATAAAAGCTTTAGGGTTCATGCCTACTCGTGCTTCCAGGAGCATCTGCAGGTGGTTTACGATTCAGATAGCGTATAACAGCATCTTCCACCCTGTCAAGAATAGACTTTGATTTCAATAACAAGTCCAGGATTATGGGAAATCCTAGGAAGTAAGTTTAACTCTAAAATGGAAGCAGCTAATATCTCGTAGAAAACAAAGCCTACCAAATACCAATACTAGCCTATTTCCTGCATATTGAATAAAAGAAATTCAGGTAGAACAAGATTCTATTCAGATAGAAGGAGAATGGACAATACATAACAATTTATATGACATGCCGGATATACCAGGAAAATTTCAATATCTAGGGCATTATAATGTTTTTAACTAAGTTGCACGGACATGAACACACCAACAAGCGTTTCTTTGAAAAGGTAGGACACAGACACATGGGACGTGATTTAAATTCTTTAAAATTTTAAATTCATATATCATATCCTTTTTTATAATGTTTTATATATGACACAGCCCATGACATGCTGGACACTTGCCCGAGGGGTGTCTCTAAATATCACTAGATTGTCAGTAATTTAAAAAATACATAAAACGTCTGATACGACACATAAGACATGACAGACACAGACATGGAGCCTTAGTACGAGTTTCCATGCATCATAGGTTTTTAATCATCTGAATCAGTAAACAAAGCAAAAAATACATCTCAAATACTTCTGAAATTTATTGCATGCATTCAATTCCATCTTCCTGACTGAAGCATTTGCCTATATAATAAGTCAGACCTAATTGCATTGAAAATAATCTGATTGATGTAAGTCAACTACATATGTTCCCCAACCACTTTACAACGATGATATTCAATACCTAAAACACAGGTTAATGGGACCAGGATGTTAATTATGAACATACCAGGGTTGGCTGTAGAAATCTGATCGACGCTCTTTTTCTGGATTGCGAATTCCTTCCCCAGATACAACTTTCAGATCCTTGTTTTGAGAATCAATCAGAGTGTTAATAAATTCTATGGGTGACTGACTAAAACCAAGAAAGAATGCCCTTCTTCTACGGTGCTCATGGATCTTTCTTATAGCAGTACAAATTGCTTCATCACAGGCATCGATCTCTTTTGTTTTTTCAGTATTGGCCAACAGAGCATTCAATTCCCTCTGTATTGGGAAGGGTACATCAACTAGGACATCATAGCATGCAGTTCCAGCAGGACAATTTCCTGAAAGTTTGATCCTGTGCTCTAAATGTATGGGTTGTGGAGGAAATAGATGGGGTGTTATTTTCTGTGTCACTGCAGTAAATCTGATCTTTCCTTCCCCAAACAATTTCTGAAGCGGAGGATCACAATTGAAAGATGAAGGGTCATCCGGACACTGCAACTTTCTAGCCTTCACATAATGCCAAATGGCAGCCATAATTCTTGCACGAGTATCAACCTCGATACCTAAGACTTCCATTAGAGCCGATGAAAGCTTATACTTTTCGGGCATATAATTCATTTCTAAACGTATATTCGAGGTGAATTCTTGATCCCCTTTCCTTTTTACCTCAAAGCCTTCATGAGAAGCAGGTGACCGAGCACTATCCCATAAAATCATATGGTTATCAGGATAGAGTTTCTGGTCCAAGGAAATAGTAACTCTCCTGAAAAATGAAGAGAATCTTGGATATAAGGAGCTTGATTTCTGCATCATGCCAGCTTGATCAGGATCCATCCCGTCCTCCAAAATCCTCCCTACAATTTTAAGGGCCCATGTAGGCGGCTCTGCATTTGGCTTCTTAGGAATTGTACGAATCTGATTAGCAAAAGTGTTAAATACATATATCCGGAGAGTTTTCTGTATGTATGACGGAGTCTTTAGAGCCTCTTGGATATCAATTTTCTTCCTTGTCAGAGCAGCATCCACACAAGACTCAAACTCAAGGAGCTGTGTGTAAAGAGAAGATTCAGGTAAAATTGCTGCCACTCTTTCCTGTAACTGCTTCTCTGGAAGCTTCTGCTTCTTCCTGCGTAGAGCAGCTGAAGCATCCATTGTCCTCATAGGAGAAACTGTGTTGGTGGGCGAGAAGCCAGTCGGCCGCACAGGTGGTTTCAGCATAAACTTTTTTGCATTGGCACTTCCAGCTCCTGAAATAGAGGGAGATGGCGAACCCAAGTTTGCCCCACTGGAATGTGCTTGATTGAATGAAAGCCCTTGAGCAGCTTGCAGCTGCGCTTGGAATTGAGCATGGGCTGCCTGCACTTGAGCGTGGGCCTTAGACTGAACTTGAGCAATGGCTTGGGCATGAGCTGCAGTTAACTGGGACATTTGAAATTGCCCCGGAAAGCCAGATCCGACTTGTTGCTGAGCAGACGGGTGCACAGGCAACAAATTGTTGAAGGGGGACGAAGCCCCAATGTTCTTTGGTGGATTATTGTTATTTGCAGACATAGCTAAATCTAAACAATTAATTACCTCAGATAATCCCTAATCAGCATATGCATCAGCGCACAAAAAAGATCTAACTACTGTATATAAATGCCTAAGGGCTTTTAACCATAATAAGAAACCCAAGAAGAGCTTAAGAGTACGTAATTAAGCACCGTTGCCCTAAAAACTGGATATTTTCGACACAAAAAGAAATCTTTTCGAAAAGATCAAGACTTGGCGACAGCATATTACATAAAATAGACTGTAACAATCGAAAGCCCTAAACCCTAATCTTACACAATGCAAAAATTAAGAAAAAAAGCTGATAAATTACATATTTGGAAATTTTTCGATCGAAATTATTGAACAGATTACAAATAATCTCACTGGTTCGAGGTGCAAACGGAGGAGCATCCTTCTCGGCAGTTGACTCGCTCGGCGAGTTACGACTCAACAATGGAGTGAGTGAGGTTCCAGTTTGGTTATAGTGATTTAAATCAGATTGGGCTCATTTACAAGTCCACTATGTTTTGGGCTGTCTTCCAAACTTTTGAAGCTTTTGTATTGCATTTCTTTTTGCTGCACATAACTGAATTTTCACTTTAATTTTGTTAGGCTAATATTTTATGAAGCATACACGTAGTAAGACAAGGGTTGACATAAGTTGATTAAGTTTCTATCTTTTATAGCAAAAATGTAGAGTTGATGTGACATGTGACACTATAGTTTATATATATGACAACTCATTTGATGTGACATCTCACATACCACTCATCTTTATTTTGTACAGTTCTTATTTGATTGTCAGAGTTCAACCGGTCATACCTTCATTGCAGTGGTCGACCTCATAGTCGAATCTTATTTTGCTAATAATCGTGAAGAAATAATTATTCTATGCCCAGTGTTTTAAAATGTGCCTTATTTAGCGATTAATAACAATTGTTGACTGACAAGGTGTGCATAGGCGAACATTATTATTATTATTATTTTATTATTATTATTATTATTTTTTTTTTTTACAAACCTTTTAAGTTAAAACTTAAAGATTGATTTACATTTGAAACTTATCTTTTCGTTGAATTTTTTTTTAAAAATGTATAAAATTTCTATAAATCTGTTTTAAATATTTGATAAATATTATTTTTAATTATTAATTAATTTTTTATTGGTTAAAAATTAAAATTATAATAAAATAAAAAAACGTCTTTTTATGTTTTTTTGCGCATATGCCTTGTCTAAACTCCCATAACCCATAGCTTGGTCTTCACGCATTGTGATGCATTACGCCTTTTAGAAAACTGCTTATGCCGATGGAGGAATATGATTGCATTTTGATGTCAATTTATCATTTTAGGATAATTAATTCTCTATACATGGGCATTGGAGAGATTCAATACTCGACGCGGCTAATAGCCTAATTCCTTCATACAAAAAAATAAGAAGAAAAATTATTATGCAGATAATGTGTAGTGTAGACTTAGAATTAAGCTTCCCTCTTTCACTTGATCATCACTGGAGCAATACATAGCTACATATCACACAATTGTGTATTCATTTTTACTGCAAGTAAAGTGAAACTATAAGAGAGTTGAGGGAAAAATATAATAAATCTACGAAGTGTTAAAATACATAACAAACTGCAATCAATTCACCCATCAACAATCACTGCTATTGGCATGAAAGCTGCATTTCGTTACAGCAATTCAGAAGACAGTTGTGAGATTTGTTTGGGACCACAATGATTGTTGTAACCTTTTTAATTCTCACGTGAACATGTCTCTTTTCTTTGCTCACTACTCCAGCTCCTTGTATATATATTGCTGGCTTTACAACCTTGTAAATTAATTCAATACAATTATAAATTCTATCAATTTCTACTCAAGGCTGTTAACTTGTTTTCCCTTCTGAATTTTAACTTGTGGTATCAGAGCATTAATGGCTAACATCGGTTCAAATGATAACACACAATCAGCACAGCTTACTTCCAGCACTTTAATACTTTCAATGTTGGGAGGTAATCAGATGCGAACTCTTGGGATAAGTTAACTCAAATCCCACCAGTCAAGCTCGACGAAAACAACTTTTTATTGTGGAAGAACATGGTGATGCCAATTATCAAAGGGCACAATGTAGAAGGATTTATCACAGGAACCAGAAGCTGCCCGGCTAAGTTGCTAGCAACCCAAACCACTGGTTTAACAGGAGTCACAGTAGAAATGACTCCTAATCCTGAGTATGGAAAATTGGTGTCAACATATCAACTATTGATGGGTTGGTTATATTCATCAATGACACCAGAAATTGCAATGAGAGTTATGGGATTGTCCAAATCTTCTGATATTTGGAATGCTATACAAGAAAGCTTTGGAGCCTTGAACAGATCAAGGGTCACGTTTCTTATTAGTAAACTAGAGAACCAGAAATGGGGCAATGAATGTTGATCAATATCTCAACAGTATCAAACAGCTTGCAGATAACCTCGAAATCGCTGGTAAAGTCATCCCTCACAGTGACCTTGTTACTCAAGTATTAGCTGGATTGGATGAAGAATATACCCCTGTTGTAGTTCAAGTCAATAGCATGGAGTCCATTACTTGGCATGAGCTCCAGGCAGTGCTTATGACTTATGAAAGCAGAATTGAGCATCTCAGCACCTTAAGAAACACTCTGGCATCAGTTAACTTGAGTGAAGCTTCAGCCAATTTCATCACAGCTCAAAATATGTCCAGAGAAAGAAGATTTAACCATGGTGGAAGAAGCAGCACCTATAGAGGAGGCAAAAATAGAGGTAGATAAGGTAGATTTTTTGCAAACAAAGGTGCTTGCCAAATCTGTAGGATGAACAACCACTCAACTGCAAAGTGCTTTAACTGCTATGATGAGAGGTATATGGGTGCTAGCCTGATGCTCACTATCAGAACAGTTTACCTGAACCTGCTTCACAAATGGCTTTTTCAAGGACTATGGCTGATCCAGCTTGATTTGCAGACTCAAGTGCTAGTAACCATGTCACAGCTGATAAAGGGAATCTGATTGAGGTACTGGAGTATGGTGGTAAGCAAAAACTTGCTGTTGGGAATGGTAACAAACTCCACATCTCTCACATTGTCAGAAATCACCTCAATTCACAAAACAATAAGTCACTCGTTCTTAACAATGTGCCGTTTGTAACGCCTCGAGTTTTGAGAACCCGGATTGCCACGTCATCGTCTTTTGTAACTGATTTAACTAAAATGTTTGTGAAAAATAACTAAATTTTAAAACATCGTATTTATAAAGGTAAAATCTCGTCGGCAACAAAATTCATTTGATTACTTAAGGAAAATCGTCTAAACTTCAAAATTCAAGTTTGAAATAACAGGAACAACAAAATAAGTTCATAATGCGTAAATTTCAAAAGTAAATAATTTCGACTATTAATTTATGTCACCACTGCCCATCACACTCGATCGTCTCCAAAATCTACAAATATTGTTAAAATAACGGAATGAGTATTTCGATTAAATACTCAATAGACTCATCGTCAATAATTAATTTACAGAAAAATTGAACACGTAATTATGCAATTCATATCGTGACATCATCATCATAGACTCATTTTCTTGAAAAACATAGGCTCTTTAACAACATAGGGTGTGAGTAGTCTCGTCGCGTGCATTTAAGCACATAAGTTATGCATAACATTCTCATCTTATCTCATAAGAGATACTCGTCTTCTTCTCATACAATAAAGTATATAAGTTATGGCAAACATAATAATATTATATATCTTATATGACATATTCTCATCTCATACATCAAAAAATATAAATCACGTAAATTCACATAATACATACAATTATAATTTAAACTAATAAATGGTGGCGAGTCTAACTCAAATTATCTCGAGTCTCGTAAAAAGTGGAACGTAACCTCAATCTCCTAATCGTCCGCATGTTTCGTCTGGCCAAAATAGAAATTAGGTTTTGAATTAGTATTTCGAAACTTAAAGTTTCAAAACAATAAAATAAAGTTTAGGACCTAATTGGATATTTATTAAAACTGAATTTGACAAATTTAAGAGTTGAAAATAATATTTTCAAAGTAATTGGGCTAAATGTGGGAAATAAGAACTTTAGGGACTTAATTGAAAACTATTAAAACAGAAAATAAAAGTTTAAGGGCTGAAATTGAACTTTTAGAAGTTAGGGACTAAACTGTAAATCTATTAAAGCTGAAAATAAAAACTAAAAGGACTGAAATAGACTTTTTATAAATTAGGAACTTAATTGAACATTTACTAAAAAACTGAAAATAAAATTTAGGGACTGAAATTAAAACACTTAAAATTTAGGGGCTAATTTAAAAATAATAGAAACTTTAGGATCGAAATCAACAATTTTAAAAACTTGGGGCTAGGGGGCAATTTCCAAAAAATAAAAATAAAACAAATTATCTCATTCTTCACACACACATACTCTCTCTAAATCGATTGAAACGAGTCGAGAGAGGAAGAGTGTTGCGACGGGGAAAGGGCCTCTTCCCCATTTTCGCCATCGGAGGGCTCAGTTCAGCTCCACCGTCACATGGTGGTGCCGATGTATGGGTGGAGGTGGCTGGGTGGTGTTGGGCACACGAAGCGAAGGTTTGGGCTCGATTTTCGTTCGGTTTTCTTTGTTTAATCGATCTCGAAAAAAAAACAAGATGATGAGGTAAGTTGTAGATTATGTTTTTTTCTTGATTTTGTGTGGCTGTTGGTGTTTTGGCTACAGTGTTGAGCAGTGGTGTTGTGGTCTTGATTTTGAGCTAAGAAGATGGTGAGGTGTTGAGTTGTGTGCGAAAATGGTGATGGTGGAAGGTGACTCAAAAATTGGGTGTTTGCAGCTTGGGTGTTTTACTGGACAGTTGAGATGGTAGTTTTGTTGCAGTGAGGTCTATGGAGTTAGCTAAGGTGGTGGATGGTTGCAGACTGGGTTTTGGTTGGGTGCAGTGTCTGGTTTGAGGTTGTCGAATTTTTGTGGAATCAACAAGTTGTTGCTGCTAGAAATTGTTGTTCAAGCATCATCAAGAGTTTCCAAATTTTGAAGGATTGTTGTTGGTGCTAAAAATTGATTTTAGCTTCAGCATGAGTCTCCCAGTGGACTGAAATCGAGAGGAATTGAGGGAGATGAAGTTTCCTTACCCAGGGGCTGTTTGGCTGCATGAGACTGTGAGGANCTGAATGAGACTGTGAGGAGGATAGGAGATGAGCTGATATATGAACAGTAAATTAGGGCACAAATACCTAGGTAACCCATTGGGCCAAGAAGTTGGGTTGTGAGTTTTTCCTAATTGTGCCTAAGGGAATTTGGACCCAAAAATTCATCAAAACTTGGGCTAATAGACTTTTGGACTTTAGATAAAACATATTGTACTAAAGACTATTAAGATTGGGATTTAATAATGATGACGTATCGATATTCGGAATTGAGCTTGACTCGGATAATTTAAATTGGTTTTATAACGGTTAGACGAACACGTGTTCATTTTAACGTTAGGGTTTAAAATTTAGCAACATGTTTTTCGAGAAAAATAATTT